TCTAGTTAGTAAATGTTTGCTCAGATCACTGAGTGTGGTGATTCTCTGAAAGCAGAACAGCTAGAAGGGAATTGCGACACAAGATTGCTGTTGTATTTTAAAGGCCAGTGGAAACTCAGCTTATGTGCCACACTGCCCCATGATGCCTGTGCTGCCAGACTTGACCCTTTTGCATAAGAAAAGAATATTGCTTCCCTGGAGTGTTCTCTGGAGAGAGCAGGTTTGTTGGTGTTCTGGAAGACTGATGCAAAAATCAGCGCCTGAAAGTCAGCATCTTTTTTTGGGTCTGTGCAGTGGCTTTCACAGGCACAGCTTAAAAACTCTCCCAGAGAATCTGAAGAAGCTGATAAATTTTCTAACAACCTTCGTAAGGGGTTTATTGGCAACCACAATACAGAAAATTCCTGGGAGTTGTGTTTTAATTATTCTTTTCAAATCTTTAATGAATGTGGCATAAAATGACAGAAAAGATTCTGAAATCACCAGAACAAGGGGAGGTAAAGCAGCATCTGTGAATATCTCCCTGAGTGGGGATGTTCTCGTGCATGGATCCTGCCTGCAGATCTGTCTGTGTGGTTCAGCAGCTGTGCTCGAGCTGTGGTAATGCTCCTCCCGACCTTCCTGCAGGTTCCTCCAGTGACAACAGCACCTTGACAGAGCTGCTGCTCTCGCCGTACCTCTGGGTGCTCTCGACAGGCTACCTGGTCGTTTTTGGAGTCAAAACGTGCTGTACTGACTGGGGACAGCTCTTCCTGATCCAGGAGAGGGGACAGTCCATGCTTGTGGGTAAGATGCAAAGCTGCATTTTGCTGCTGTCTGGGAGGTGTTGCCCAGAGCTTGCCTGGGTACAGGAGAAGGACAGATGCCTCTCCACCTGAGGGACTTGTTTGCCTACTTTCTAGTTGTCTGCTTAGATACACGCAGGTGTTTAAATAACTCAGTGATGTAGTTACTGTGTGCACAAAGCCCCCGGTGCCAGGACCCTCCTAGGATGGCAGACAGACATTCCTGAACAAGGATGAGCCAGAGGGTCGTGTCCAATAGAGCTGCTCGAGCTCACTGTGAGCTGACAACAGTGGGGCTAGTCTGATGTCCACAGCAGCTTTGCTGTTTATACCAAACCTGATGGGCTGTTCTTTACTTCACCTGCATTCTAGGCAGTTCCTACATGAGTGCCTTGGAGATTGGGGGCCTGGTGGGAAGCATTGCTGCTGGATACCTTTCTGACAGAGCAGTAGCAAGAGTAAGTAATGTGCACCTTCAGGTGTGCTGGGCAGGTAACACAGCATCAATCTGAGCTGCTTCACTAAGGGGCTCAGGCAGGGTGGCATCCCTGTGGGTACGACTGAGAAACAGGCCCATACCCAGTTCTGCCGTGTGCATGGCGTGCTGATGATGTGCCATCTGTGTTTCTGACTGGACTGTATGGATGGTGTTAGTCACTACAGGTATAAAAGGAAGGAGGTCCCTCCAATTTCTCACTCTCAGCTTTCCTTCCTGTGTTACAGGTGGGTCTGTCAAGCCACGGGAATCCTCGGCATGCACTGCTGCTTTCCATGATGGCTGGGATGTGTGTGTCCATGTTTCTCTTTAGGGTCACAGTCACAGGCAACTCTCCCAAGGTAATCCACGTGCAGCAGCTGGCCATCAGCTGTAGGGATAGCCCTTGAACAGGGAGGTTTGATGAGAGGGAACCTGACTGTTTTCTTCACCCTTCCCAAGGGTTTCTTTGTGCTACAGAGAAGCACTGACTTGGGCTGCTCCTGCTTGGCGTGGGCAGCCTGCCTTACCAGCTGTTTTTGCATCTGCCCTCATGATTGCTAACTAAATTAAACTTCTTTTCTCCTTTCCTTTTTTATTTCTTCTTCAGGAAACCCACTTCTGGACTGTAGCCTTGCAGCCTCTAGCTGATCTTACAGGCCTAAAAGAACATGAGGTTTCTGCTTGCATTTTTTCTCCCTCTACCTGTTTCTTCTTTCCCTGGTCTGCCTTACTCCTGTCCTGGGAGGTTGGTTAGCACCTCAGAACTTAGAACCAGGGCCCTGAGAAGAGATTACTGTAAGTTTGGTAAAAGAAACCTTTTCTTAAAATAATTTGATTACACTGACTTTAAAAGTCTAAATATAAATCTTTAAAGTTCTTATAAAGAAGATTCTGAGGACTTCTGATTGTTAGGTAAAATATAGCCACTTAAGGGGTCTTGTGGGTGAGATCAGGAAGAATGATTCTGCTCTGGCAGATGTATTCCTGCTTAGTTTCTGGCAAGTGTTTTCCTAATTCGTCATTTCTGTTTTATATCTGGAAGATGAGATGGCACTTACTTCCTTCTGGGATTTTTGAAATTATTTTTACAGTTCAAAAAGCATACTGTAATGTAGGGGTGTTACTTATCCTTTGTTGTGCAAACAAGAGACTGATAATTTTGGGCCAAGTAGGTTTCTTAGAGCATAAGCTAACACTGAAGTTCAGACTGTTGGGTTGGTTTTGGCTTTTTTGGTTCTCGGTTTAGTAGCATAGAGGTTATCAGAGAGAGGTGTCTCACAAATAAAGATGCTCTGATTAGTAGCATGCATCTAAACTGAGAAAAGCTGTCAGTTGGTGTATCCAGGATTATTTATGAAAGCAACCTGATTCACAGCTCTCTCCTGTGCTTTCACAGGGTCATTACCTGTCTCTGATATTCTGTTTCCTTCTTGCAAATCGGCACAGGATGTGTTACACAGTGTGGGGGGCAGAGCTGTGGGAGGGAGGAGAGCTTGCACTGGCCACAGACGGAGTGGTGGAGATGCAGCTGGGCTGCGTGTATGTGGGGTCTGTACAGGTTTGAGCTCTTTTGGCTGCAGGCCAGGGAGCTGGTGTCAGTCTAAACATGTCAGAACTCCCTGGTACCGTGTGTGGGATCTAAGAACTGTCAGCAGCTGCTGGCTGACAGTGGTGAGGTGCACAGATCCTGTTTCTTATCTTAACTTATTTTGACAGCTGTGGATCCTGACTCTGGGAGCCGTGTTTGGGTTCTCCTCATATGGGCCGATTGCCCTGTTTGGGGTCATAGCCAACGAAAGTGCCCCTGCCAACCTGTGCGGCACCTCCCATGCCATAGTGGCCCTCATGGCCAACGGTGAGTTACACCCATTTCCCCGAGAAACAAACAAAACCCTTGCACGTTTTTGGTGATGCATAGTCTAGCCCCTGGTTGCCAAGTTACTGATCATGGGAGGTCACCTAAGGTGCAGAGATAATGGAGCTGGGAGCCCCAGGGGTGCTTCCTGCTGTGCCCAACAGGTTTTGCGTTGGGCTTTAAGTTCAAACCAGGCTTTAGGAATGTTTGTACATGCAAAAGCAAGTATTGGCAGATAAAATTGGTGCACACAAGCATTGCTAGCTTTCTGTTTGTTTTTCCTTGCAGTTGGGGGTTTCCTGGCTGGATTGCCATTCAGTACAATTGCTAAGCACTACAGCTGGGCCACAGCCTTCTGGGTAGCCGAAATCACCTGTATTTGTAGCACAGTGGCTTTCTTCTTCCTGCGGAACATCCGCACCAAGATGGGCCGGATTCCCAAGAAGGCTGACTGAGGATAAGCTGCTCGGTGAAAAGGATGTTCCCACGCTGACGTGAATGATGCTCATTTTTTGTTTAACTAGCCTAGGAATGAGTTTACCTATTGCTGCAACCTAGATAAAAATGTCTCAGCTTCTCAACCACTGTCAGGTGCCTGAGGGCACAAGGTTCCTGCTACTGATCACTTTTTCCCTTGAGATGTGATAATTCATCTAGTTTACATTTGCAATGATTTTACTGTACCTCTTTCTCACAGCACTGCTGATGAAGCGAGCAGGCTCTGCAGCCTGAGCTTCCCCACTACAAATGGTCTGAAATGACCGGCTTCAGGTGCGCTTACCTTTAGTTTTGTCGTTACTGTTTGTCTCAGCCATGAACTGAGACGTTAATCAGTTCAGCTTCGCTGCTCAGGGGTCCCTGAACTGAGCCTTTGCCACCTGTGTCCACCCGGTCCAGCTGCCGTAAGCGCAGCTGTCCCAGGTCACTTGGCGTGAGCTCCGTGTGCACTTGGCCCCAGGACAGTGGCAGAGCAGGGAATTGTGACAACTGCAGTCCAGCCTCATGGCTGCTCTGACAGCAGTGAGGCTTTAGCTGTACCAAGGAGTAGTTGTTAGGAGCAAGCGAGTGTTGCTGTGGAGAAGCGAATGGTGGGATATGTTGTGGCTGGGCTCTCCACAGCACTTAGGAACAGGCACGTTTCCAGGGAATTCGTGGCATTTAAAGAAGCTCCTTCTAGTGAAGTGCTCCTGCCCGGTGTGATGTCTGTGTTCAGTGTTAATGATTTGCAGGGGAGGCAGCTGCCGCCAAGTCAGCTCGTAGCGAGTGCTCTGCAAATCAGCCAGGAAAACTGCCCCTGCTGCAGGAATTGTGACAGTAGCCACCGCCAACACACAATTTCTGCAGCTGGGTTTTGTGATAACCTCTATTTGTAGCATTGGGGGTTTTTTTTCAGTACAAGGTGTGTAGTCTAGGGTGGTTTTGGTCAAGAGCTGCATCTCTCGTGGCAGCGGGCAGTGGCTTACGTTGCCTCCAAGTCAACCGTAGCAGAGCCACTGTGGAGAGCCTTGAGCAGTCAGACCCAGCACTCTGCAATAAGTACACTCAGGTTTTTAAATGAGAGTTTGTTGTGTATTCTTGTTTTTCCCCAAAAGGATTTACTGCTTTAGGGTCCTGAAAGAGGCAAGTTCAACTTGTGAAGAACCTGCATGCAGGTACTTTGCTGAACAGCTTGGTTGCAAGAGTAGTTAGTCAGCCTTAATTAAAACAATGGAAGTAAATTAAATTTTGTACTTAATTATATGATCTTCTATCTGTGAAATAAAAATGGAGCAGTGTCACAAGGGCCCCGGTTTTCTTAAGCAAAACCACCAAAACTCATTTATCCTCTTGAGGTGCCACTGGCACAAATGTACCCGCCAACAGAAAGCAAACAGCCATTCACCTCTTTAATGAACACTTATTATTTCTGTATAGAAACTCTCTGCAAGACCATAAGTTAGAGCTATACAGGAAAAATACATATGTACAGTTATGACAGGAAAGAAAACCACTGAGTTTGGTAAGGCCATGGACCAGCATCGTCCTTCATCCGAGTGCAGTGGAGCTGCAACAGCAGAATAAGCCCCTGTGGCCCAATGTAAACAGTGCTAAGAAATCTGTTTAAGGTAAGTTTCACAACAAAGGTGATAAAATGGTATCCTGGGAGATAATGAAGCATGTTTTGGGGATGTGCAGTCTCTGCTGTGGAGGGGAGAGCTCTGTGAGAGGCCAGCCAGGGAAGAGAGAGGCCCCACTCTTCAAGAGTAAGGAGTCTGAGCAACAGGCAAGGCTTTCTCTATGATCCAGGTCCGAAAGGTCCAGCTTTCTCTGCCACCTCCAGAGCAAGTTTCAAGTTCTGATCAAACAATTCACACCTGAAACAGTCAGAAAAGCAAAAGGGATGACTTTACCTATGGACCAAGCTAAGAAAGATAAGATCTCCAGATCCTTTGAGACTGCATCCTTCAAGGAGAGATCTGGGAAGTTGTGACACAACTCACTGTTGCTGAGCTTTGGCTTGGTCCTTAATTAAGATTAAAGCTCTTTCTATAGGCCTGAGTGTTAAGTTAGGACAGCAGGGTGAGTGCCAGGGAAGTGTACCTCCCACTTCCCCAGCGGAACAGCGCCGGAAAGAGCTCAGGTCAGCGTCCTGCCCCTGCAGCAGTGTGCTGTGGCTTCCCCTTCCCTCAGCCTTTGGGTCTGCCTTGCTACTTCACTTAAGGGCTGTCTGCATTTGTTACTGCCCAGGCAGAAAGCAATGAGGGGTTGCAGATGGGTTACGAAAAGTGGGCTTTTCCTTACCTGATTGGCATCTCCAGGGAGTAGAAAGGATTCTTCAAAGCGAAGTCAGAGTAAATCTCATAGATTTTGCGGAGAAGAGCATCTATCCCCGTCTGTCTCGGGTCAGCAAGAACCATGAATTTGATCCCTAGAGCCATAATGCCAGGAACATAAGGAAGGCCGAGCACAGTGACAGCCCTGGCACAGCAGAGTGGTGCTGGGTGCCTGGGGCCGGACTGTACCTGTCAGCGTCTGGAAGCAGTGCAGTTTGAAGGTGTCAGTCTCGAGCATCTCGATCCCGGAGCTCCCAACCTCGGGGGACAGCTGCGATCCGATGGCGAACAGCCTGTGGGCACAGGACCTTCAGCGCCCCTCACCACCCCTGCCCGTGGCATCCTCGTCCCCTCACGGCCCATCCTGACTCACGAGTGGAACATGGAGGCCAGCATGAGCTTCTCGTTGGAGGAGAGGCGGTGGCGGCCGAAGCGGATGGACACCGGGTAGTTGGCGGGGTTGCCCAGGAACTCCAGCACGTCCTTCCCGTCCGCCGTGAAGCGCCCGTTGACCTCGGCGCCGTTGATGGCGAGTACGGCGTGACCCACTGCGGGGACAGCGCGGCGGCATCGGTCAGTCTGTCAGTCACTCAGTCAATCTGTCACTCACTCGCTCACTCACTCAGCCCGGCCTGGCCGGCCCTCCCGCCGCCGCACCCGCGGATGCCGTCGCGCTGCCCGAAGCGACGACGACCGCTCGCGTGCGGTGCGCAGGACAGGTCGAGCGGGAAGCTGAAACGTCTTCTCGGTGTCGCGCCGGGCGGTAGTGGTGTTCCAGCTGGTAGAGTAAGGTCCGCCGCGCCCATTGTTCACCACGTAGACGCTGGAAGATCGCCATGGCTCTGCCCCGTGCAGTTGGCTTCCGTCCCGCCCGGCGTGACGCCGCGGCCCGTCCCGGGCCGCCACGCCCGCACGCCGGGGCCGCTTCCTTCTTCGCCGACATCTTGCGGAGTCAGCCGTGCCTGCACCATGGTGAGCCGGGCCGGGCCGGGCCGTCGGCGTGTGGGACGGGCCGGACCCCTCGAGCGGCGGCCGGCGCTTCCCTGACAGGCGGGAACCGTTGCGGGCTTCTCGGGGGCGGCCCGCTGCTGCCCGCGCTCACTCCCCACCCTTTCTTCCTCCTCGCAGCCGCCCAAAGACGACAAGAAGAAGAAGGACGCGGGCAAGTCCGCCAAGAAGGGACAAGGAGCCCGGTGTAATAAGTCGGCGGCTAAAGCCAAGAAAGAAGGTGGGAGCCGGCGGGGCCGAGGGCTCGGGCAGCGGGCGGGGCCGCGGGCCTGCCGCGGGCGGCGTGGCCGGGCCTTGAGCGCGGGTGATGGCCGGACGGGGGCATCGTGTTGTTAGAGGAGCAGTCTCTTCATCTGCCAACAAGTTGGACATAACGGTGTTAAAACCGAGTAGCAGAAGGCTGTAGTCCTTTTATTTGCAGATACTGCAGGTATTATTTGCAACATTTTCGTATAAAAAACATTTCGTTTACAAAGGCCATTTTGTGCATCTCATTAGTAGTTTAATATGATATGGAAACATTTGATGGTGCAGTTATTGGGGCATCCTTAAACTCGATCTTTTGTTCTTGTTTAGAAGATGGCTTATGGGGCATTGTTCTCTTTCTCTTTTCAAGTAGAAGTGGTCTAAGGGGAAAGTCAGAGACAAGTTGAACAACCTTGTCCTCTTTGACAAGGCCACTTACGACAAACTGTGCAAAGAAGTGCCCAACTACAAGCTCATCACACCTGCAGTTGTCTCAGAGAGGCTCAAGATTCGAGGCTCCTTGGCCCGGGCTGCCCTCCAGGAGCTGCTCAGCAAAGGTGAGCACTCAAAACTGGAAAAACAGAAAGCTGCTTCTGCAGACTCGGCTATTTTCTTTTCCTTGCTCATTTAGCAGGTTTCCTGCAGCATCTGAACTGCTCCATGTGCAAATTGACATGGTTTGGGGAGCCACTGCCTTAGCTTGTGTTTCAGAAGTGCTCCAAAGTATGGAGCAGCAGTTCTGCTGCATGCAGTGGCATTGCTGTACTAAGAAAGTGCTCCCAGAAGGACAGGCTGTGACATAACTGCTGCCAGATCAGAATGAAAGCCTCGTATAAGCTGCTACGCTCTGGTATTTCATCTTGCACGTTGTACTGCCTCTCTAGGAGGGAGCACAATGTCCTTGGCATGTGTCAGTATATGCATGCTCACATAATTTCCTTCTTTTTTGTAGGTTTGATCAAACTGGTTTCCAAGCACCGCGCCCAAGTGATCTACACCCGAAACACGAAAGGTGGAGATGCGCCTGCTGCAGGGGAGGATGCATAGGGAGGTGAGGCTGGGCGCTGAGGAGGAGCTGAGTTGTGCCATCAGAGCTAGCAGACAGAGCTGGGTTGTGCTGTCCGAGCTAACAGATGGCTATGTGCTGTGTAGGGGGCAGCTCTGGCGTGGCTGGGGGGGGGCTGTTCTTCCAGACACTTGAGAGTATATTGTTTGCATTCTGAGTGACATTCTGGGGGGCGTTACTGGAAACATCGGTTCTCCAGAATTAAAGAGCAACTGGTGATTCTGTCCCTGTGCCCATCGGATCAGGGAATGTGAGCTGCAGGGCAGTGGATATGTGTCCTCCCTGCTATTGCAGGGCACCACGGCCAAGTGTTCCTGCTGGAACAAAGCTGTCAGACTGTTTGCATTGTGCTACCCTGCTTTGACCTGGTTTTCTGATTTGGGACTTCTTGCTTTGCAGGTTCTCCAGTGACCTTATCAACAAGGGGTCATATGTAGATGCACGTAATAAAATTACTGATATAATTTTTCTTGCTTTTCCAAGAATGTGTATGTTTCGTTACTGATGCGTTATTAATAGTGGATTCTGGTACCAGTCATGGCTGTCATCCTCTACCAGCCAGTTTTTGCCTTTACACACAGTTACAAGTGTACTTTGAACGTGCTTTTATATTGCAAAAAGGGAAGGAACTTTTGCATCACCTACAGCAGCCAATCGTATTAAACCACGTGAAACAAAGAATGTTAGAATTAAGGAAAGCAATATAAATTGGAATGAAAACATCTGGCACCTGGCATTAGTTGCCTGCAGAGCAAACCCTGCATTTGAAATGAGTTTCAGTTGGTCTACAAACACAGGGACATTTAAAAAAAAAACTTTATTTCTCAAAAAGTTCGTTAATGGGATGTCATGCTCCATGTCAGCGTAGGCCACTGGCAGCACTTGTTGTATAAAACAGGCTTTCTGATAATGAAGATACAGCATCTGCAGTAGCCTGTCCTTACTGGCAGGACATGTAACTGTACTGAGGTCACCTTGCCTTCAGGGGACCAAGCACAGCTACCTACAGTCCAGCTTTCCACAACAGAGCTGCATCTTTGGTGTTTTTCATCTGATCACCTTTTCTTCTTTTCCCCTGATTCAGTTCTAAACTGGTGCCTGAAAGAGAGCATAGAAGTCAGATTGCAGCAGCCTTTAGAGAGAGAGAGAATGAACACTGCCTCAGACAAGTAAGACAGTGCTGTGCACAGTGTTTTAGCATGGGAGTTCACTCAGTATTTTTATTATGTCAGTGGGTAGTAGCAGGCTCTCCAAGTAGCTGACACAGTTCTAGCACATTAAAAGTTGCCAGTGGAACAGCACCTGGGTCTGAAAGGTGAGCCAAGCAAAATGAGGCAGGTGCCTTCACGTGTGCAGCCTCTACAGCCATGACCATGCTTCACCTTGCAAGCCACCCCTTTGCTGCTTCAGGGCAAGAGTGACACTGCCTGGACTGAGCACTGCCTGACGTAACTCAAGCAACAAGACATCTTATGCTTGCTGCTACCACAGAGCCTGCTCCAGGAGTAGCTTGCATGGACAGAAACCACAAACCCTCCACTTGGCATCTACCTGTGTTGCCCTGAAGCTCACCTGGATTGCCACCTCCTGCCGTGATTCCAAACCCGCCCGAAGGAAGGAAGCCAGCTGTCGCTTGTCTGAGAGGTATGGTCAAAGTTGGCACCAACACGTTCCGCTGGGAGCTTTTTCAGCTTCTGCTTCTCCTCTGAAAAAAAATAAATCATAGAATTGTAGAGTGGTTTGGGTTGGAAGGGAACTGGATGATCATGTGGCATGGATAGGGGCACCTTTCTCTAGACCAGGTTGCTCAAAGCCTCAAGTGTTTTGTTCAGCAAAAGTTTTTCAGTCAAATTGCTTTTAGTTCTCTAGTTTGGTAAAGTGACTGTAAGGTTAACTGAAAGGTGTGCAAGCTGCTCACTTTGTCTGAGAAATTCCTCATAGGAAGGTCCAATCTCTTGTTTGGTTCCATCCTCTTCTTCTGTTAGCCATGGAGGTTTTGCTCCTAGAAGTCACAGGGAACACTTATTTAGCCACTGAAGTTATCCTAAACTGAGATAGGGAAAAGCATCCCTTCTTCCCCCATCCCTCTGGTCACCCTACCAAGCAAGTAGCAAAGGAAAAGTCAAGTCTGGGTGTTGTAAGAAAAAGGAGCTGGTTTCCTCAGTTAAGGCCACAGCAGATCACACCCTAAATCTTGCATTTCCCACAGCAGCAGTACTAACAGAATTTTCATAACACAGAAGTGTTTTCTTCTCCTCTAGTATGTCAAATATTGCCAGGAGAGTGAGCACCTCCTGGTTATGCTGCAACTGCTTCAAAACTGCTTTAAGTTATCCCTGTTAAATATGCAAGCCAAGAGGTAGCAACCCAGTGAGTTGTGATGCAGGTGCGATTACCTGTGTGGACATTTCCTTTTCCTTCTGTTTCCTATTAAAAGAAACATAAAATGCTAATGAGAATCTGATGTTTAAGAGTATCTTTGAACAGAAGGGTATTGTGTGCCTTCCCTTCCAGAAACATGTTCTGTTGCAGAAAGACAGAGGGAAGCTGTTCTCTACTTTCTTTTAGGAGCATTTGTTTTTTTCAGGGCATATTAGTGAACATTTACTTAATGAAAGTTAAGAGTGGATAACTGAAACTGGACTAGCTGCCTGCCCAAATCCACAAAGCTGTTTTTTTCCGTGACAGGGACTGCACTCCTTGTTTTGCTTTGTGACACATGCTGTAGAACTGCAGTTAAACTGAAGTCATGCTTGTTAGCCAGTCACCCTTACCTGGTGGCCAATGAAGGTCAGAGCCTGTCCTGCTTCCATCCAGGATAAGTCAGGTCCTGTCTGCGTCCCGCTCAGGCCGGGCTGCTCTGCATCGTGAGAGGTGTCCCTGGAATAGAGGCCAGTGCTTACTGTAGTGTAGACAAGAATTTGCCAAGGATTATAAGATCCTGGTGACAACAGTGTCAACTCTGGCAGCTGCCGCGGCCTCATCGGGTGCTTTGAGTAGGAACACGTCAGCCTAAGGGAAGCAGTACTCACCGTTCAGGTCCTGCGGGGGGGCTGCAGACAGAAGGTCCTGCACAACGTTCTGCCTCTGTTTGAAGCTGAGTGCGATTCAGGAAAAAAGAAGAGTATTTCTGGTACTGAGCAAAGCCCCCACCCGGCTGCCCCCAGCCCCTCCCGAGCGCACCCGGTTCCAGTAAGGGCACGCAGTGCGATGCCCGGTCCCCGCCGGGGCGCAGCCAGGGCAGGATACAGCTCACCGACCTGGAGCGCGGCCTGCACCGTCTCCCGCTGCCGGCGCTCGGCCTCCCGGATGTCGGCCGCCATCTGCGGGGACAGCGCGGTGAGGCGGGGCCGGGCCGCGGCGGGGGCCGGAACCGGGGTCGCTGCGGGGGCGGCAGGCCGGTACCTGCGGATCCGCTCTCCTCCCGCTTTGCTGTGCTCGGCCAGCGCCCGCTCCAGCGCCCGCGCGAACTGCTCGTACTCCTCGGTCGGCACCAGGCACCGCTCCCGCAGCCGCCCTCGCCCGGTTCTCCCGCCAGAACCGCGCCGTCTCCCGCCGGTGCTCGGGGCCTGCGCGAACCGACACCGTCAGCGCCGGCCGGTGCCGCAGCAGCCCGGCCCTGCGGCAGCGCCCACCCGCCCGGTCCCTGCCCACGCCACCCGGCCAGATGCCGCAGCAGCCCGGCCTGCGGCAGCGCCAGCCCCCCGCGACCGCCCTCCCGCCGCACGCCGCGCCCGCAGCACGGGCACAGACGCGCCCGTCGTGCTCCGCCGGGTGTAGGGCCGCACGGCAGAGCCCACATCGCGGCCGCCGCCGCCCGCGCCGCCCCCCGCCTCCTGCAGCCGGACCAGCGCGTCCGCAGGCGACGGCGTGCCCCGCGCTGTAGCGGTGCCGGCGGCCCGTGAAGGCCGTGCGGCGGCACAGCCCCGCAGTAGTGCACGGCCATGGCGCGGAGCGCGGGCGCAGGCGCGGCGGCGCAGAGCCAGCCCTCGGAGGCGCAGCGGAGCCGCCTCAGTGCTGCCATCCAGCGCTGCGGGCCCTGCACACCGCGCTGGCAGCCGCCTGTGTCTCATGTCCGCCTGTGTCTCTGCGACCTGTATCTCATGTCCAGAGAGGGGCAGCGAAGCTGGTGAAGGGTATGGAACGCAAGTCCTGCGAGGGAGCAGCTGAGGGAGCTGGGGTTGTTCGACCTGGAGGAGGCTCAGGGATGTCCTTATCACTCTCTACAACTCCCTGAAAGGAGGTTGTAGCCACGTGGGGATCGGGCTCTTCTCCCAGGCAACCAGCAATAGGACAAGAGGATACAGTCTTAAGCTGCTCCAGGGGAGATTTAGGTTGGACATTAGGGAGAATTTCTTCACAGAAAGGGTGATTAGATGGAATGGACTGTGCAGGGAGGTGGTGGAGTCACTGTCATTGGAGGTGTTTAAGGAAAGACTGGACATGGCACTTAGTGCCACAGTCTAGTTGACATGGTAGTGCTTGGTCATAGGTTGGACTTGATGATCTTGGAGGTCTTTTGCAACCTAAATGTTTCTGTGACTGCTGCAGTGACTCAGGTGACATTAACTGCGCAGACACTCCTTGGTTTGTTCCCTTGTCAGGGAAGCTACCGTCCTAGTGTGTGCATTTGCACTTGATCACATCACTTTTAACATTGTTCCTCTATGCACTCATGGGCATGCAGGTGAAAGTAGCTGTCTCAGTCCAGTTATGTGAATTCTTGCCCATTGGTTTTACAGCTGGAATGCAAAAGCCCTATTCCATGGCTTAGAATAACACCTCTCACTCAGCTAATGCGTTCTCTGCTGCTCAGCCTGTGGGCCAAGACCCTTTGTCTCAGATCAACAGTGAACAGATCAACCCACCATTTAATCCTCTGCACCACAAGAACATTGCAAGAGGCAACAGCTTGTGTGGAGGACTTTGTGTTAGTCATAGCAGGTGCCACATGTCAAAATGCCTCTGCAACTTGAGACGTGCAGCTGGACAAAATCTTGCCTTACTGAAAGAAATTAGATTGCTCATCTTCCTCCTCTCCCCTTCTAAATTTGAGTCCTTAGGTCACAATGCTCATACTTTCCACATACAGTTCTTGGGACGCTGCCTGTGGCAGCACCTGAGAAAATAGGCTTGGTTTGAAAATACATGGTACGTGTTTCAGATGAAGGGAGCCCAAAGGAATCCTAGACCAAACAGAGGGGGGGAGGAAGAGGGAGGAAGTTGCAATTGTTACTTGGGCCATAATGTCTGCAGCATTCACGTCTATGCTATGAATGGGTGCTTGCAATACATACTCATACTATTCACCCGCTTGCCATCACTTGGGGCACAGCGGAGGTAGGTGACACGTATGGAAATAGAGCAGCTTCAAATCAAAATCCAAGCCTTGGCTTAGTACCAGCAGGAATTAGATTTCAGACTCTACATATGCTGAGCATGTTGTAGGAGGATGAAGTTATGCTCATAGCAGAGGAACACA